TATAATACATTTTCAATAACATTTATATATCATATGTTATAGAACATATGTGATATATAAAAATATATAATATTTTTAATGGCAGATCCCAGTATTTAAATGAAGCCTCTGGGACTCTGCAGAACAGTTTTCAAGGCACTGGCCTGAGCCCATGTACGTGTCCCTTTCTGCATCAGCCAGAGTGCCTTGAGGCATTCCCCCAAACAGGAAGGAGCTTGGCTTGTTCAGATGAGTTGACTTGGTAGTCATTCTGAGATGGGAAAAGCAACTTATCAGCATACCTTTGGAAAAACGTCAACCAGATTTTGAAAAGCATTTTGTAGTTTACAAAGTGTTTTCATATATACTGTCTCATTTTATGATAAATATTTTTTATTTGATGACTATAAAAATTGAGGCTTTGAGTAAGGAAGTGCTTTTTTCTAAGGTTCCCCAGATGTAAAACCAAAACCTATGTATTATGGTCCCAGGTCCTAAGTCTGTTTTCCTAGGTGCAGGACCAGCGGTGTTGCTCATTGGAGGTGATGTGGTATAGTAGGTAAATAAACAAGGTCGGTTTCAAATGGCCAGGAAGTAAAACATGACTCTACTTCTACTTACTTTGTATGTTCTTGAGCAAGTTGTGTATCCCTTATGATTTAATTTCTGGATATTAGGCTCAATGATGCCTTGTCAGAGGGGGTCTTAAAAGGTCAAATGATATAACACTGTGAAGCCTGCTACAGTGCCTGCTTCAAAATAGGTACAGTAGTCCCCCCTTCTGCACGGTTTCACTTTCTGTGGTTTTAGTTAACCACAGTCAACTGCGGTCCAAAAACATTAAATGGTAAATTCCAGAATTAAACAATTCATTACTTTTAAATTATTTGCTTTCTGAGTAGGGTGGTAAAATCTTGTGAAGTCCCACTCTAACCCAGTCAGGATATGATTCCTCCTGTTGTCCGGCGTCTCCACACTATATATGCTCCCTGCCTGTTGGTCACCCACTACCATCCAGACTATCAGATCAACTGTCATGGTGTGGCAGTGCTTTTGTTCAAGTACCTTTGTTTAGTTAATAATGGCCCCAAAGTGCAGGGCAGTGGTGCTGGCAATTCAGATATGCCAAAGAGAAGTTGTAAAGTGCTTTTTCTTTAAGTGAAAAGGTGAAACTTCTAGACTTTATAAGGAAAGAAACAAACCATATGCTGAGGTTGCTATGACTTAGGATAAAAATGAATCTTCTATCCATGGACTTGTGAGGAAGGAAAAAGAAATTTGTGCTGGTTTTGCTGTCACACCTCTGACTGCAAAACTTATGGCCGCAGTGCATGGTAAGTGCTAAGTTAATACGGAAAAGGCATTGGCTTTGGGGGTGGAAGACATGAACAGGAAATGTATTCCAATTGACCGCAATGTGTTTTGCCAGAAAGCATTGAGCCTGTACAAAGACTTCAGCAAGGGAATCCCTGAAAAGAGGGACACCAAGCCATTTACTGCAAGTAAGGAGTGGTTTTACAGATTTAGGACTAGGTTTGGGCTGAAAAACATAAAAATTCCTGGAGAGTATTGTTATAATTGTTCTATTTTATTATTAGTTCTTGTTGTTAATCTCTTACTGTGCCTAATTTATAAATTAAATTTTATCATAGGTATATATGTATAGGGAAAAAAGTATATATGTTGATGCCATCCGTGATTTCAAGCATCCACTGTGGGGAGGTCACATATCCCCCACAGATAATAGGGGATTCCTGTACCTTATAAGAGTTTTCTGTGACCATTGTGAGGACCAAATTTTGCTGGCAGATGGCAGAAATATTTTCCCTCTGAAATATCCCGAGATATTTTACTGGCCAAGAGGCAGACTAGGAACTATGTATGGGTGGAAGCTCAGTGGGTCACAGGGAAAGCTTTATTTGAAACACAGTTCCTTTTATTTTTATTTGTCAATTTGTCAATACCACATGCACTTTTTCAAATTGAAAGAGATCTGAAAGACCAAGGCAGGACCATTTCCCTCAGGTCAACAATCAGCTGAGAGAACAATGGGTTTCTTCCTTCTGTCTGCAGGTTCCGGTGTTCCTCGTGCCAGCGACGTTGGGCTTCTGCCAAGGTGCAGGTCCTGTGTCATATGTACCTGGAGCCCCGACAGTCCCAGGGCCATGTGCTTATGCGGCTCTTTGCTCAGAGGTGCCAGAAGTGTTACGGGGCTCAATTTGAGAAGCCTGAGTTCTCCATCGATAGTGCCATGAGGATTTTGAACAATCTGGTGTACCGCATTCGGGAGAGATGCTATGGAAATGGCATCAGGAAGTTCTCAGAGATACCAGTGATCCCGGAATTGCCTTTGGAAGGGTCCCATGACATGGCCAATTGTGAGGCTTGTGCTCTGGGATGCTGTGTACTGAGCTCACAAGACTGCAAGACAAAACCATCCAACTCCTCTTTCTCCTACATGGAGATTGGGAGCTTTGATGACATATTCAGCCAAAACCAAGCCATGAACCAGTCAGCTAAGGCAAAGGAGGCTCAAAGGAGTGGGGATTCCTATGAGCATAAGAGGTCAGGGCCCAGCCATGCCACTGCTGGAACCCAAGTGCTTGGGGCAAGCTCTCAGCCCAAACGGGAGACAAGCCGACAACCGACACCAGGGTCAGACCAGCAGGCTGCACATAGAACAGGGTCACAGCCCATCCAAGTATCAAGGTCACTTCCCTCAGGGTGGACAACCCTACAGCCCACACGAGCAGTAGGCTCATTATCTTCACAGGGGGCAAATTCACAATCTGCCCTGGGGACAGGACCACAGACCCCCCAGAAGACATATTCTCAGGCTGTAAGGCAGGTCAGCCAACAGTCTAAACAGGAGACAGTTTCACAGGCCACACAAGGGGCAGGTCTTCAGGCCACAAAGAAAATAGACGTACAGCCCACACGGAGGGTAAGCCCCACAGCTACACATGGATCTGGGACCTTCAATGGAACTCAAGGTGTCTATAGAAGGCAGGAGAGTTATTCACCCAGAGGGTCTGCTCCCGACAGCTTTTACAGATCTTCTACCAAAACACCACCAAATGACTCCTTTGGCCTAAACTTATTCAGGTGGGGCCGTGACCGTGTTGCTGATCTGTGGAACTTTGTTGCATCCAAATACTTTTAAATAGAATGATAAAAATAGGCTAGTTTTCTCCTCTTGTTTTAATTTCATGGTAATCAATGAACTAGCTGCCATTTTAATGTAACAAAGAATTTGCTTTGATACCAGGCAAAGTCAAGTTTGTAGACTAAGCACCGGTTTCCTGTACTTCCTTTGCAGATAGTATAAAACATGACCTAGCAGATAATAATTCTAATAATAAATATTTGTTAAATGACTAAAAGGTGTTCATTTACTCACTCATTCACTCATTGGTATCAATATATATAGACTGTATCTTCACAAGGACTCAGGGTCATGAGTGTTATTAGAAAGTTATTCAGGGGGACAGGGTGGAGGTGGAAGAGAGCATAGAGGGGATAAAGGCTCATGGGGAAGAACACACAAAAATGATGATAAAGGTCACTCTTCTATCTTATGGTGAAATAAAGTATTTTTTCCCTAAAAACAAACAAAAAAGGAAGTTATTCTATAGGCTGAATATAGAGGATTAAACACATGTACTAGTATTTTCCTCTGATCTCTCTTGAAACACCACTGACAGTAAAAGGGGAAAAAAGACACTAATATGCAGGGCAAAGAGAATGGGTTGAAGCTAGAAAACTGATGGACTAGTGATAGGCAAGTGACTTAGTAGAGTGGAGAGATCTGAAATAGAAGTTAGGGAAGGAAAAACTGAAATGAAAAGCAATTTATGCGACTTGACTTCAGAAGGGCTCAAAAACTGTAGGAAACAAGAAAATCTGAAAGTGGGACCGTGGAAGGCTGAAGTAGGAGGACTGGCTGAAAGCCTATCTACCAAGTTTCTTTCCCCCATTTCCATGTGCCTGGTAACCATTCTTAACTTACTCCTGAGAGGATGAGGGTTTACACTCTGAAGACATTGACACAGATGGACTCTGGGCTCCAGGACTCAGGCACAGCTAAGGCAAGGAATGCCACCCAGCAATCAGAAAGATGGTGAAAGTCTACATGCTGACTAGTGGGACTCCCTTAGCCACTACCAAACCTAGGAGCTAGCCTTATGTCCTATCCCTCAAATACACAAGAGAATGAATGATACCTCTTTCAGAAAAAAAAATGCATATAGTGAAATGGGAGGTCATGTGGAGATTCCTCCAATGGACTGGCCACCTCAGATAGCTAAAACCCCACAGCGTCTCCAGTCAGATTTTTAATGTCTTGCATTTGCATTTGGACATATAGCCAGGGGAATATCGAATATTTGATGAATCCCCTAATGTGAAGGCAAAAAAAAAAAAAAAGGAAAAAGAAAAAAAAGTCAAAAAAAAGAAAATCAGAAAAAAAGAGAAGATTCAAGGATAATAGAAAATTTTTAAAAAGCAAAACTTTTTTTTTTATATCTCAGAAAGATAATAGAAGGCATAGCATTTATGAAAAAAATGGATATGATCCTCTGGGACAATCTCAGGTGTGGCATCTACCTGTGACTGGAGGCATCTACCTTGGGAGAGTCTCAGCGACAAGCTGTCAGCAGGCAATGCTCCCAGAAGCTGGGGAAATGAGTACTCTAGTTCTGAAGGAGGGATCTGGGCAGCACACCACAGCCTCCACTGCAATCCACATCTTAAACCACTTGAATCTAGTTGCTTGGTATAAAAAGTTCACTGCATCTGGGAAAAGATAATCCAGGATTTTTTTTCCCCCTGAAAAAGCATGCAAGAGAGAAACGTAGTGGGCAAACTAATCACACACACACACACACACACACACACACACACACATTTTGAAAATACATCTATGTTTTGCTCCCCTTTGTTTTCCTAGCACACAGTGAGAGACTTTTAATTGGTGTCTAGAAAATATTTGTTGAATTAAATGGAATGCTATTTCCTGTGCTTTCCCTGAGGGAAGGGTTTTCATCAATCACTTTGTCCTTTGATGTAACTTTGAAGACTGAAGGATGAACAGGCATTGAAAAATTTTAACCAGACCAAGAAATGTGGATCATTTTGACTTCTTGGGTCAGTGAGGAAGATTGGTGTAAAGGAATGTTTGAGGGGGAATGTGTGGGGATTGGTGGGAGGGAAGAAATATTAGTTCTGATGAAGATGATTTTTGTTCCTTCTGTAAACATAAAGAAATAAGAAAGCCAAGATATTGTCTTTCATAGTCTTCCATGGAGTGTCTGAAATATAACAACCACTTATGAGAATGGGCACTGTGGGAGACACAAAAATGGCAACTGATTTAAGATGAGTGGTGGTAAACAGGGTCACTCCTACTTTCACCTCTTGAATTCCAGACCTATATATTCCATCTATAGGGGGCAGACCATATGATGGTCATTGATTTGGAATGTATACTATATCCTGGTAGGTGATGACTCATTTCACAAGATAGCATCTCCAAGCTGTACCATAGCTGCAACTTTAAGAGGCTATGTCACTCATTTCTCAGGCTGGCAGCTTCTGGGTGATGCTATATTTGATAAGACCAGAAAAATCTCATAGCCTATCACCTCTGCTGTAACTCTTTTGCTACAAATTTGCTCATTTATTTAATGAGATGTATTAGTTTACTAGGGCTGTGAGAGAGAATCTGTTCCAGGCCTCTCACCTAGCTTCTGGTGGTTTGTGGGCAATCTTTGGAGTTCCTTTGCTTGTAGAAGCACTACTCTGATCTCTTCTTTGTGTTCACATGTCATTCTTCACATGTGTATGTCTGAGTTCTAAATTCCCCCCTGTTATAAGGATACAGGTCATATGGGATTAGGAGCCCACCCTACTCCAGTATGTACTCATCTTAACTAGTTGCATCTTCAACAATCCTATTTCCAAATAAAGTCACATTCTGTGTTATTAAGAGTTAGCACTTCAACAGATGAATTTTGAGGGGACACAATTCAATCCCTAACATGTGGGGTCCTGGGTTTGTGGATCAAATGAATACTCCATGAGCCCTTGGAAATTCATGCTAGCTGAAGTACTACAAACCCATATCTGGAATAGTGATTCTAGTGAAGATGAATTACTATCTCCTTCAGAATGAGAGGGATATAATGTATATACCACCCATGATTGAGACTGGAATGCAGCCACAGTCTCTTTTCAGCTTTCACCACAAAAACTACTGGAGAACCAACATTGGCTTTTTCTTTCCTCTGCTAGCTGGTGTACCAGTGGTGGTCAGCATGGGGGCTGGGCTACCAGTTCACCCAGATTTGTATTCTCCAGCCTTGACTTATTCTCAATCTGGATACAACACTTCCATATTCTGATGATTTGTGCTCAGCCTTATAACTTAACTAGAGGCCTGTTGCACAAAGAGATTCGTGCAATAGGCCTTCCCTTCTCTTGGCTGCCGGCACAGGTTTTCCTCCGGCACCCGGGACCCAGGCCTTCCCTCCAGCTGGAGCCGCCTTCAGTCTTCTGTCTTTGTGGCTCTGGCCAAGCTGCCTTCAGTCTTCCATCATCGCTGCTCCAGCTCGCCTTCAGTCTTCCCTCCGACGCTTGGAGCCTACGTATGCAAATTAACCGCCATCTTTGTTGGTGCTTGATTTGCATATCACGCTGATTAGCCAATGGGAGGCATAGCGAAGGTACGGTCAATTACCATGTTTGTCTATTATTGGATAGGATGGGCCTTTCAGAACCTAGGTCATTATATGTATCTCTAGCATCATCATATTTTGATATCCCATAATCCGGAGTTTTACCTCTATTATCACCAAGTACTAGTAGCTTGTAGGAGTTGAGCTTTGAATGGCATATAATTCTTTGATGCAGCCAGCATGGCCTTGCATCAGAAGACAAGTGTTATAAATTATGTTTCTCCTACTGGGGATTGCCATAAACACTACATGGCACTGTTTTCCACTACAGATAACTCTAATATCAAAGGGTCTGCTGGATCACATGGCCCATATGACAGGGCTGCTTGCACAGCATTGTGGATCTGCTGCAGAGCCCTTTCCTATTCTGGGTCCCAAACCTATTCTGGTTTCCTATTCTTTGTTCTCAAAATTGGCAGCTTTTAGTAAATGAATCAAAGTGTGGACTACCAGATGAAATGGTCCAGATGCAATAATCCGACTGTACTTTGGAAGTGTTGTCCTGGCATGCTCCAAATTAATGTACCCCAGAAACCTTTAGGGATGCAGGAGGGGATCATTATAGGGGTTATTTTCCACCTTCTGGAGTGCATGTGTCTTACCAAGGTCTCTGGTGCACTTGCCACTTCTCACTCATCTGCTCTGATTAACATGATGTCATTGATACAGTGGACCAATGTGATGTTCTGCATAATGTCCAGATGGTTCAGGCTCTGCAGATTATATTATGATGCAGGATGAGAGAGTTAACATGGCCCTGGGACAAAAATGCAAATGTAGGCTGCTATGCTTTCTATATGAATACCAAGTACTTTTGGTTATCTTTGATAGGGATGAAAAAAATACATTATTCTGATCAATCTCCATATATCATGTATCTGAAGCAATGTGCATTGCTCTAGCAAAAATATCACTTCTGGCACAGCAGTTGTAATTGAGACCTCTACTTGGTTGACTTTGAGATAGTCCAATGCCATCCTCCAAGATTTGACTGCTTTCTGCAGGGGCCAAACTGGTGAGTTAAATAGCATGAGCTGAAGACCACCACCTCTATATCTTTAAGGTTTTAAGGATGGCTCTAATTTCTGTCATTATCATGTTAAGGGGCTGGGCCCCAGTGAGGTCAAGGCCTGGATTCACTGAGATGGCAGGTCCAGAGAAGGGGCAAAGGAGAATGGCCAGGATGGACCCTCCACATCCCTCTCCCTGCTCCTCCTTCTGTATCTCTTCTCTTCCTGCTGTGGGTGGGGTGAAGTTGGAGTGTTCAACCTGGCCCTTTCCTTGGCCAGGATGTGAACCTGGAGAGAACTGTGTCTCCAAGACTCAATGGTTTTATAAAGAAGTATGTGATCCATTTAGAGTTGGCCTTTCTTCTCAGGGATACAAATGCCCATGCCCCCAAAGTTCTTGGAGAAACTTGTCTTTAACTGGAGCAGAGGATCCCCAAGTTTTTTTCATATAAAGAAGGAAGGTTTTTGTTTTCTTTTATTTTGCTTTGTTCTTAAGAAAAGGACCCATTCATGTGTCAAATAGGTTCATTGCTGATTGATTGCAAGTTACATTTCCAGGATAATCACATCCAAGCATTTGATGATTTTGTTTCTACGGCACCTTGTATAACCACTCAGTACCAAATAAATATT